CCATGGACTTCACAAACCAAACAGGGAAAGAACAGTAAAGATGATAAAGATTACAATGGCTACTGAGTTTTCTTCCCCCTTCATAACCTCTGGAGGCAGTTTTGTGGAGTAAATGAGTTTTCCCCATATTGATTTTTTTCTTTTTCAGGCAGTGTTATCACATAATGAGCAGAGTCTATAAAAAGCTGCTCAGTTTTCAAAATTTGCCTGGAATGGCCAGTTATGGGGGGAATGGGACTGGGTATTGTAGTACGAAAAATGAAAAAAGGATTAATTTTGTTGAATAGTTTTTAACTTGACATACCAGTTTAATATGCTGCTGATTGCGATTCAAATATGGCCTGACCTTTAAAAGATTACAGGAGGGAAGGCTGGCTGCTCTTGTATCCAGACTGGTGTCTCTGTGGTCTGCGTGACTGAGACGTGCTAAACGGGTGAGGTCTGCTAGCAGGCTTGTCCACCCCTCATTAGCTCTATGGCAAATGCTAATCACTATGGTAACGGGATGCTGGCTCGGGCATCCAAGGTGACAGACCTTCCGCGACGTACCGTTGAGCGCTATGCGTGTTTATGGCTGGGACATAGGCAAGAAGGGGAGGGGCTGACACTGGCCATCAACATCCAACACAGATGTCTATGCGAGGGTCTTCGAATGACCTCCACCCAACAAAGACCCTTTCTGAAGTCCTCTGCTCCATATGCTACCCTTCAGACTCAGTGTTTTGACACTGCGGGGGCTGTTAAATTCGACCATCTCTGAAATGTAATAGACAAGGTCCATCCTGAATGAAATCTGGGTTGCTTTTGAAACAGGAAGCTTATGTGTTATCAACAACTAAGTGCGGTAAAGCTCTTCCCTTGTTGTGGTCTGCCGGCATTCTGGCTCTTCTCCTCTCTTCTCTCTCTCTCTCTCTCTCTCTCTCTCATAAGTCACTGAATCCGGCATTAGACTGTAAACATAAACAAAGCTTCATAATCACCCAAGGTTTACACAGTGTTTACCTCTATTTTCATATTTTTTCAAAATAATAAAATATATTAACACTATGCTTGTTATGAGTTAATAGTTGTTTGAATTGTCATATTAAAGGATTTATCAGAGTTATTTTGAAGATGTATGTATATCCTTTTCTCAGTGTGACCAAGTGTATAACACCGTTGAATGTCAGGACTGACTCAGGAAAGACGTTTTGATTTGAATATCTTTCATATTTCCGTGGATTCCACACTCGTTTAGATGTCCTTCATCCTACGGGAAAACATTTCAGCTCCAGGCTTGCAGACGAGCGCCGGCTGATTTTATCATTTCGTCTAGTCAGACACATCAGGCTGTCCCTTTTTCCCTTCTGCAAATAGACGTTGCTGTGACACTTGTTGTTTATTTATTTATTTGTTTTTATTTTGCATGGTCAGGACGGTGACATCCCTTCACGGAGTAGCTGTCGCTTGGAGAAGGCGAACGCAAAGGCGCTGACTGCTTCGGCGCTCTCGTGACGTGACCCGCAGTCACACCCCGTGCCCCCCCTCCCGGTAGCATGTCACTTTCGGAGGGGCTCCTGGGAGCCGTTCAATGCAGCATCATGGGATTACAGCTCTCCGGCTGCCAAACGTCAAACACATTTACCTGCCTTGTGAACACTGACTGTTTCTCGGAGAGAAATATTTATTTACATTAATTAATTCATCTTTTTATCGAAAGGGACTTGCGCTAGAGGAAAAGGTTATAATTTTGAACTCATGATCTTTGTATTGCTAGCACAGTGTTTTCCTTGTTGAGCTATAGGAGCTGTCAAAATTCAATGGAACTGATTTTGTTACCAAAGAATTTATTTGGAATTAAACACAGACTCTAGGCTATGATCAGGGTAAGCAATTAGATGATGGATGGATAGATGGATGGATGGTTGGAATTAAACATACATAATTTACGTTCACTAAACCCCATGTGGTAGATGGGCTTACTGACCTAACACATGGGGAACAGTTTTCAGAGACTCACAGCTATCACTGAATAGTCACAAAGGAAAAACAGTTATTAATATATTTTATTTACAATGTTACCAGAAACCTGCATGAGATGTAAATAGTGTGCATTCACAGGCATAGAAAATCGCGTCTGCATTTGAATCATGAGATGATTGCAGAAATAAACCATATAACTAACCCTATCATTCTCTAAATCCACGGCTGCCCAATCTCATCAGCACCCAGAACAGGATGCCTGCTGGGAAATCTGCCAGTTTTTGGTTGACCAATCGTGGAAGGCGGTGATTGATGGTGGTGTCGCTCGCTCGCAGGTTGTGGGTTATGTCACATCCTCCTTCTTGCATCTGTCCTGCACGTGCTCAACGCCACACTGACGTTTCAGATCTCTCCCTACATGTCTACTATGCAGAAGCACACGGAAACAGGGACGCTCTCGGCCAAATCGCTCATAACGATGAATAATTTGGCTCATAAAATGTGATAGTGAGTCAAATTCAGAAGCTATAGGTTTTGCAAGTGGTCCTTCAACCCTTCCTCTGTAAAAGGATGAGCTTTCGGATGATGAAACTATTGCCTTATTCTGCCTAAACTTGTAGGCCGTACAACTCTGCTGTTAATCAGGAATGAATTTACTTTCTGGCTCACAGAGCAAAAATGTGGATCCTTTATTTGGCTTCAAACAGAACTTTTTTTGTTCAATTATTTATTACACTGAGTCCATATAATCCGCCTTCTTTTGTACTTTATGAGTACAGATAAATCAAACAGCCTTTGGACAGAAATGCTGTCTGGGACTCTGTTTCCAAGTGCATGTGCAATTTATTTTTTTTGCGCACATTAATCCAAATACTCAATAAACATTCAAATTAAAATACAATTACTCAGATGAGTTGATGATGCTTCCCATCAAACAAAGTTTCCAGGTGTTGATAAGGAAACGAGGGATGAGTCTCCTGTTTGACAGGCGTGAGGAAAACAACTGGGTTGTTTCCTCACACTTCCAGGGTTCTAGGTTCAAATGCTTTCTCTGTGTTCCTGGCTGTTCCCAACCCAGAAACATTCAGCTAGGAAAACTGGTGACTCAGAATTGCCCATAGTGGAATTTCGTCCAGGGTGTCCCCTTCTCACTGG